TATTCTCCCCGCACCACCCAGTAGCACATCATTCCCGGAGCCGCTATTAATGGCCTTTTGATAAATAATCACTTGTAAGTCAATAAATTTTTATTAAACAGTGTGGCGCTTTGATTTATGAAAATCCGACGGGGTTTGTCTGGGAGAAAAGGGATGCAGAATTGAAGCGGAGCTGCTATCCATCTGCCTGCCAGGCCGCCCTGCCTGTGCTCGCACCCACACGCCCCTGGAGCAGCCAGCCCCAAGCTCTGCCACATGCTCGGTGGGAGCCCTGCCCGCATGCCCCAGGGCTGCCCAGCCCCAGGCAGGCCCCGGCACACCAGGTGGGTTTGGGGAGGGCAGAGCTGGTGCTTGCTGTTGACCAGGCTCCATACGCCTTGTGAGACCCCAGCGCTGGCAGGGGACCGCTCTGCTGCAGCAAGCCGCAGCAGCAAGTGGCCAGTGCCATCTGTGTGGGAAGCGGTGGGAGCCCTGCCCGCATGCCCCAGGGCTGCCCAGCCCCAGGCAGGCCCCGGCACACCAGGTGGGTTTGGGGAGGGCAGAGCTGGTGCTTGCTGTTGACCAGGCTCCATACGCCTTGTGAGACCCCAGCGCTGGCAGGGGACCGCTCTGCTGCAGCAAGCCGCAGCAGCAAGTGGCCAGTGCCATCTGTGTGGGAAGCAGGACCACGGGAGCAGTGATGGGCAGAGTGGGCAGGAGAGGAGGGTGGTCCTGGGCACTGCCCTGGGGCCCTGCGCAGAGCAGCACTGCTCAGGGGACCTGTCCAGCTGCAGGGATGCACAAGGCAGCCTGGCTGTGGCTGCGATTTGTCACTCTCCCCAGCTGCAGCAGGCCCTTTGCCACCTGCTTTATTTGTCTCCCAGCCCTGACGTGGCATCAGACAGGTGTTAAACTACTTAATCACTTTAAAATTGTTTTAATTTTCTGTTTTGTATTGATCTCCACAGCACCAATTAATCAGCTCACTGGACCAGGCAGTTAGTACATTAAAAATTGTCAGCCACGCTGGGCAGCTTAGAAAATGTCAAAAAAATATCCCAACAGCAGCCCCGCACTTCTCCCGCTGTGCTGAGCCTGCTCCTGCTGAGCACTGGCTCTGCCCACAGATGGTGACGTGGCTCTCCCAGCCCTGCCACGGGGCCGGGGCGCATGGGGCACGCAGCCTCCGCCCCAGCCCTGTGCACCACACTGCCTGTGGGACCTGGCCTCCCACATCCTTGCAAAGCTCTGCCACCCACTGGCATTTGTCCCATCGAGACAGCAGAGGGGCTGCATGGCTGAGGGGGAAGTGTTACGAGCCCCACACTCACTGGGGGGCTAGACAGGGACCTATGGGGGAGAGCAGTCTTCTCTAAGCCCTGGGAAAGTGCTGCCAAGCGATCAGGGCTCCTTGCAAAATCCCCCCAGCCCAGCATGTGGCAGAAAGTGACAGATTGGAGAGGACTTGAAGCCAAATGTGGGCCTCGGGGCCCAGGCAGATGGGTCACACGGTGATGGTCTGCAGCCCCACACCATGGCTCCTCACCACAGGGCTGGTGCTCGGGGCCACTGCAAAGCCTCAGTGCTTCGGGAGCTTTGGCCATCCCCAGGGGTGGACTTGGCCACTAGCCTGTCCTCAGGTGCTGCCTGCAGCCACAGGGGAGGGCAGCTTGGGTTGCAGCCCCCAGCACCTCCTCCACGCCTGTGCCATACTGCTAATCAGTATATGATGGGCCGGCAGCACCTTATCTCCTATCGATTTCCTCCCAGGACACGGCCGGTCTGTTTGCTCACACCTGGCTGGCACTTAGTTGGCTCTCAGCTGAACAACTGCCAAGCTTGCCAGGCCCCCAGCGGTGTGCCTGTGCCAGCAGGAGTCCATTTAGCATCCTGAGCGGCTGGGGATAGACAGCCCTATGTGGCACCCACCATTGGTGTGCAAGGGTCAAGCCATGGGGAGCCAGAGGAGGGGGTGTGCAGACCCACATGCACACACCTGTGCGTGTGTGCAGCCCCCACGGGGCAGGGGTGCAGCACGGGGGGGGGGGGGCGCCCAGGTGGACAGGCAAAACACCAG